GAATGAAGTAACTTCTGAAACTATTAGAAACTGTTGGTTAAAGACAGGAATTTTACCTACTTTAGATGATGCCATGGGAATAGAAACAAGTGGTACAAGTGATCAACTCATTCAGAAGAATATCATGAACTTCAGAGCCTAATTAATGGACTAAGAAATATTGAAGCTTCTGATAGGTTGAGTGCAGAGGATTTTATTAGAATTGATAATGAAATCCAAGAGTTTGGAAATGTTGAAATTACTGATGAAGAAATTATTAACAGCTGAGTCTGAGTCAGAAGATTAATTATCAATTGTTAATCAAAGAATTACTACAAAAGAGGCATTAGAATCTTTAAACATTGTCCTTTCATATATTCAAGATCCACCTGAAAATCTTACTTTTGAATTTATAAATAAAAGTAATTAAAAACCACATATCCAAACATACTGCTTCTAAAAAAAAAACAAAGCACACTGGATAGTTGGATTACTAAATAATTATTTTTATATATTATTTATTTATTTTTATTTTTTTATGTATTTTTATAATTTTTTTTTTAATAAAGTTGTATCATGGGATTTTTGTAAAATTTTGCCGATCTTTTTATATAGTGAAGTTTTTTGTCAAAACCAATTATTATATCGAGTGCTGACTGTAGATCAAAAATCTGTTACATGAGATCTGATTATTTTGAACTCCAAAAATTTGATGCTATTTTTAGATTATGAATTAAGAATTATCAGTCAAATGATATGTCACAGGAAGTGTAATTACATATATAAAATAGAAAACCTGACTCATGTAACAAATCAGTTTTTTAAAATATCTCATTACAGTAAACTCTTGTTTCAACAAAGTATAATTAAATTTTTGATACAACAAATTTTTAAAAACGTTGTTACACATCGTGAAACATATAAAAATTCATTGAAATGTGATTAGTAACCTTGTTTCAACGAATGTTGAATAAAATTTTCTTATATGTCCAGCCACTTTGTTGAAACAAGGGCAGACTGTATAAAGTGCAATTTTTTCACCTTGTTCCTTTTCAAAATACTTCCAATGGTGCTGTAATTCTTTGGTTCCATAGTAGACCTGATGTAATTAACTTCATATTATTATTTTAATATAGGGGTGGTTCTATATATCACTTAACAAATGGGACATTATAAAACTAATTGTGATGATACTAAATTTGACCCCTGAAATCCTCACATTCACTTTGTCTGGTTTTGTTGCAGTATGCCCCATATAAGTAATAAACATTTATTTTAATATTAAAATTGCACATGGTTTTATAATAATAATAATAATACCGACTGATAATAAATAATAATCCTGTTATAGAGTGAAACTGTATTCAGCTTTTACTTTATGTTTACAATTTAGTTTTGTTCTTTCCTTTTAGTGCCACCAAAAAAGGTTACATTAAAAACTTACAGGAATCCATATGATAAATCAAACAACAGTAACAGCCAAAATGACGAATATGAAGAGGCGATCCAAAAAAAAGTCCAAACCAGAACAAGACATTCTTTCTTCTTGGTAAATTTCATATGCAATCCTTTCTTTTCTTAGATAAGCTTCTAATGCCTGATTATCATTTATTTTGAAGATACAGTGAACCCTTGTTTCAACGAAGTATAATTAAATTTTTGATACAACGAGTTTTTAAAAACGTTGTTATAAAAATTCGTTGAAACGCAATTAGTAACCTTGTTTCAACGAATGTTGAATAAAATTTTCTTATATGTCCAGCCACTTTGTTGAAACAAGGGCAGACTGTATAAAGTGCAATTTTTTCACCTTGTTCCTTTTCAAAATACTTCCAATGGTGCTGTAATTCTTTGGTTCCATAGTAGACCTGATGTAATTAACTTCATATTATTATTTTAATATAGGGGTGGTTCTATATATCACTTAACAAATGGGACATTATAAAACTAATTGTGATGATACTAAATTTGACCCCTGAAATCCTCACATTCACTTTGTCTGGTTTTGTTGCAGTATGCCCCATATAAGTAATAAACATTTATTTTAATATTAAAATTGCACATGGTTTTATAATAATAATAATAATACCGACTGATAATAAATAATAATCCTGTTATAGAGTGAAACTGTATTCAGCTTTTACTTTATGTTTACAATTTAGTTTTGTTCTTTCCTTTTAGTGCCACCAAAAAAGGTTACATTAAAAACTTACAGGAATCCATATGATAAATCAAACAACAGTAACAGCCAAAATGACGAATATGAAGAGGCGATCCAAAAAAAAGTCCAAACCAGAACAAGACATCCTTTTCAAAATACTTCCAATGGTGCTGTAATTCTTTGGTTCCATAGTAGACCTGATGTAATTAACTTCATATTATTATTTTAATATAGGGGTGGTTCTATATATCACTTAACAAATGGGACATTATAAAACTAATTGTGATGATACTAAATTTGACCCCTGAAATCCTCACATTCACTTTGTCTGGTTTTGTTGCAGTATGCCCCATATAAGTAATAAACATTTATTTTAATATTAAAATTGCACATGGTTTTATAATAATAATAATAATACCGACTGATAATAAATAATAATCCTGTTATAGAGTGAAACTGTATTCAGCTTTTACTTTATGTTTACAATTTAGTTTTGTTCTTTCCTTTTAGTGCCACCAAAAAAGGTTACATTAAAAACTTACAGGAATCCATATGATAAATCAAACAACAGTAACAGCCAAAATGACGAATATGAAGAGGCGATCCAAAAAAAAGTCCAAACCAGAACAAGACATGCTTCTAATGGACCAACTTATAGAATGAGTGGATGATGTTGGAAGTATTATAAGAGAACCTTCTATCATTGGAATCATAATACACCACTTTGGCAAGAAATATGTTGGGAATTCCGTAATAATTTCGAAAATATAAGAGTTCATGATAATGTTAAAAGAATGCCTCAATGGAAAACAAAAATGACAATTGATGGATATTGCTCAGGCTGTAAAGGATTTTCTTGACAACTATGCTGAAGTCCATGGGTTATCATCAAGCCTAGTACTAGGAAAAAAATTTAGTCACTTATATTCCTGTCGCCAACAGAAATGAGTCATAAATCAATCTACAAAGATTTTCTTACCGGCCTGGAAGAAGATAAGCATTTTTAAATCTTTCAAGCATGATGCATTCGCAAATTGTGGCATCAATTAATTCCTCAGATTCGAATTATATAAGTCCCAGAACAGATATATACCTTTGAAATAGATCGTGTCAGAAAAATTATAAGGAGAAAAAGAAGACATACTAAAGAAATAAAAGAACATCTGCAATGAAGAAAAGAATTTCTTACTAAAATTGGTGACACAACGAGTAAAATCGATTTGCTTTTTGGTCCATTTATTTGGCAATTTTATTTATAAAATCATTTGTGTTTAAATATGAGTAGAGACCGTACTGGTGACATAAATGTAAGTTTTCATTTTTCTTTTAAAAAGTATTTAAAAGAAAACAATAGTCGGTCTTCTTCATTCCTCCCTAGAAAAAGAAGGAGTTAGCTATAACATTATATATATAATATAATCAATCATTAATTATTTATTTTTCTTAATTGGAAAAATAAGGGACAATATGGTGGTGGTGGTGCATATCAACAAGGAGGGTATGGGGGTGGTCAACAACAACCACAATATGTTGAAATGGCTCAAATTGGCCAAGATGATGTGGGCGCATTTTTTGATGAGGTAATGAAGATTAATTATTTATTCAATTATCTAAAGATGCATCTATTTATGAAAATAATTATATTATTATTATATATTCATTATACAATCACTTTCATTTGCTCGTGTTCAATTCTCAAACTACACACACACTATATATATATTAGGTATCATCAATTTCAGATATGATACGTAAAGCTCAAGCAAATATAAGCCAAATAGATGAATTACACTCGCGTACTCTTGGTACTATAGCTGAAGATGAAAGGATAAAGCGTCAACTTGAAAGTATAACATCGGAAACAAGAGGAATTCTTACACAAATAAAAGATAGAATTAAAAAATTGGAAGCTTCAAATTTGAAGCAAGCTAAATCTGGCGACATAGAAGTTAGAAAAGCTCAGGTGAATTAACTATTTGTTACTATTATATTTATTTGTTTGTTTGATTCTTAATTTGTTTATTTATATATATATCTACACTTACATACATATATAGACTTCAAATTTACGTCAAAAATTCATGGAAACTTTACAAAAATATCAAAATGTTGAATATCAAAATAGGCAAAAATATCGTCAACGAATGGAAAGACAATACAAAATTGGTAAGTTATACATTTCACAATTTATTAAATATACATATAAAAAATAAAATATATCAAAGATATTAATTCAAATTTTTCTTCAACTCTCAATATATTAATTAGTTAAACCTCAAGCAACACAAGAAGAAATTGATTCTGCCATAGATAATGATGACGGTGGGCAAATATTTGCTCAATCAGTAATTACAATTAATAATTTATCATATATTAAATATTTTTTGGATATATATATATACACACACTTACAAATATTTATATTTGTAGTTGATGAATTCAACAAGATTTGGAGCA